ATTAGTTATTAATTAAAAATAATTTTTTATATTAATCATAAATTTTTGATATTATATCATTAAAAATTAATCGAGAATTCTATGTTGATGAAGGAGAATAGATTTACGAATTAATTTTTTTCATTTTATTCAATTAAATAAGATTCTGATTATATTGGATTTTTGTCAAGAATCTGAAATTTTGTAAGAAAAGAGAGGATCACTTAGAAGTATAAATAATTAAATAATAATAGTTGATAATCATAAAAACTATTTCTATAGAAAGAAAGGCTAATATAATTATCTTCGACAATAACATTTAATCCTATTGTTTCTTTATCATCTAAATACTTAATTTATGAATATATATTATAAGAACCTAACTTTATCTAACAACTTAATTTGATTAATAACTTGATAAAGATGAAGTGATTTGATTAATTTGAATGAAAAAATAGGATGGAATAAAAGAAATAGGGTAGTAGTTTTGAATGCCCAAGGTATTCATTAATTTAGTTTTTAAATAGATTTTATTGAATATGACAAGCAGATAAGAAAAAAGAAAAGGGTTTGTAAGGAGGTTTAAATTTGTTATTTTAATATTCCAATTGCAAGGTATATATATGAAATATGTGGTAAAACAAATATTAAAAATGAGTGGTGCTTTTGTTTCCAGTTGAAAGATTATGAGATCCATTTTAACTTCTTTGATATATATTAGTTATTTTTTTAGAGCTTTTCTAAATTAAAAAATAATTTTACCTTTTTTACATCTAATTATTCCTAAATATTTATAGTTGTTTACAGCAGGGAAACCTTATATATTTAAATGTTTCGTTGCTGAATGGTTTTAAATTGAAAATATGGAGGTTATGTTGAATAGGCAGGGTTAAAATAGTTGTTAAGAAATAAGGAATTTTGTGGTGCTTTAAAAAGAATACTATATCATCAGCAAATTGATAACTTTCATAATTAAACAAAGATACTGACTTGAACTCAAATAAAAGTTTTCTATATAAACTAGGGGTGGAGAATAATATAATGAATAATTATGTTTAATTCAGTGTGGATTTTGGATTGAAGTATACAATATTTTTGCAGCCTGATAATAATGCACTTTAATTGGTGAATATAAAAATAGTAGAATTGATATTAAAAGTTAGGTTATTTTTAAATAACGAATATATTAAAATTATAAGATATATGGAAATAATAATTACTTTTATTTTGTTTTTAATTTATTTTCATTTTAGAAATCAATTTATCAACAAATTTTCTTGCTTTTTCTTATTTAATCTTTAATATTGACTGACGTTAACCAATTGTCTTCATTTTCTAAAAAATATTAAACCTAAAATACCCATTTAAAATAGGAAAAATTTAACCCTATAAGAAGAACATTAAAATTTAATAATAAAGGAAAGAACTAGAATGTAAATTTGAGAAAATCTCTTAAAAGTAATGTTAAATTCAAGTTGTCATTAAGAATGTGAACTCTAAGGTATAAAACAGAACCAAATTCAAGATTTTATTATCTGCTACTTAGACAGAACGGCAACAATAATTTATTTGCATAAATCTTACTAAAAAGAGAAATTTCATTTATTAAATTGAATTTAGGATGTAGATATAATTTAAGATTTATTTTAGATAGATCAATAATATTATAATGCAGATAACACAAAATACTCATGGAAATTATTAAAAAGATTAGACAATTCTATTGAATAGCATAAATGAAATTATAAGCAAATTTTGAGATGGGTGAATTAAAAAATATTTTTTTTTTTTTTTTTAGATTAGAGAATGTATTTGCAGATAACCTCATATTTGTAATTTCTAGAATAAAGAAGTATGAACTTTATAGATAAAAAAATGAATTAATAAATTTAATTAATTTTTGAAATATCTTCAAGCAAGATTGTTAGAATACTATACCAAAATTCAAATTATGATTTTATAAAAAATACTTCCCAAATAACCTACATCATCAACTGGTTTTAGGGTATCCTCAGCAATAGTTAATTGTTGTAATTTAGTCTAAAGTATTTTCCTACTTCTTAATTAGTTAAACACATAATTTTTGAAAATAGGGTTTTTAATTAATTAATTAATTTTATTGCATGTGAAAAATAGTTTACATAACAATTCCTTTTGTTAACACATGTTCTATATACAAATAATAATTTGGTTGTTATAATTAATTGATGGATTAAATTATTTACATTCTCTCAGAAACATTCAAATTTATTTCATAATACAGAAGACATTAAATCGCATTCGACTGATCTCTTGATGGAGAATACAAATAATGATACATATTAATGCAGATTATTCACTTTTACCGATACCTAAATAGCCTTGAAGTGAATAGAAATCATTTATCTCACCAGAAAAAATTCTATATGTATAAACAATGGTTTGCATCACTTGTTCTTGATTTTTTTGATGCGGATAAATAATATTAATAAATTTTTATCCTCTTAAGATTAACTTTAAATAATTGCATTTGAGTTTCAGTTTCTATAGATATACATGAAATTGCTCATTAAACAACGCTAAATCTGTACTAAATTTGTTTAGATAAATAATTATGGTGATATATATAATTAACAACAAAAATAATGATACTAACAATAAAAAAGATCCATAATATAAGCAAACATTTTCAAAAATTCAAAGTATCTTATAATGCTTATTTTGAATATAAGAAGAAAAATTATCAAATTATTGTCCCAATAAATTTATTTGAAAGCAAACCTTAATATTAGATTTTCATTAAATTAATTAGAAAATAAAGGCAGAGTGGTTCATAAATACAAATCTACAGTAATAATGTTTGGTTGGTAAGCCAAGATAAATATGGATAGCTTCTCTAGTATCCGTTTGACTAATATATTATCTCAATACTATTTAAGTTTCTCTAAACCTTAATCCCTTCAGATCCCATAAAATTTCTGGGGCATCCATTTTCTGAAAAATCATTAATTTGTATATAAGAATTATTAAACATTGATAATTAATATTGTTTTAGACCTAAAATTCAAGTTCAAATTCATTTTAAATGATTTATTACCTTCCTTATCATTTAAAAATAGGTATTTTTAATTTTAAAAAAAATTCACTCCTGATTTTTTTTCAAAACAACAAAGAAGTTGAAAATCTATTAAGACTTTTTAAATACTTAATTTTCCATTCATTTCTATTCTACTTAAGAGCAAACCTTGATTCATCGTTTTCCCTAAAGATGCAGACCTACTCTTAATTATTATTTATTTTACTTTCTATTCCTTGACATAGCTTTTTAAGAATAAAATTTTCAAAAATAGATCAAGAGTAGCCCTACTCATTAATATATTTAATATATTGTATTTTGAAACAAAGGTTTTTTGTAATTTTTAAGTTTGACTTATAGACTTTTTCCTAAGCCCTCCTTGAAAATTCCAAAAAATTATCTAAAAATCAGAAGTTTTGATAAGAATATATATAATCAAAAAAGAATCAGTATTAAAAATTAACCGTATGACTCAGATCTTATGATATATCAATTTTTATTTTAGTATAGCTCTTATATTTTTAAGCGTATTTAAATGAAGTCTATATCTATTTATTCGAGTTTTTTTGTTTACCTCAAACTAATTTTTGAATAGTTTCTTTAGTTTATTGTGACTCTTGATGTTAGAAATTTGTAATGTTTAATTATAATTAATTTAATAAATTTAAGCTTAAACAAATATATTAAAAATTATATTATATTTGATGTGTGTTGGGTAAAATTTAGTTAAAAGAACTTAATAATCTTGATAAAAAGGTTATTTGAATAATTAAATATCACAAAAATCAAATTTGAGTAATATACTGAGCTGATTAATAGTTTATTCCTAATAAAAAAATTCAATTTATTTTCAATAATATGCAATGATTTGGAAAATTAGGTGACCTAACCTATCTAACTTTATTTAAGATGATAAAAATATTTTCTTACATGATTCAACTAGAATAAATTAAACCTTTATTTTCTTAAAATAATTGCTCTTCAACTTTATAAATATTTGGTTTATCAGTTTAGTTATTCAAATCATTTCAGTTATTATAAAATATAATAATTAGTATTATTTTAATTAATTATACTTGAAACATTTATTTAGGAATAAAGTGATCAATGAACCGAAAAGCAGATCTAAAAAAAAGGGATTAGATAGATAATTGTTATACTTGAGATACTCAATAAAAAATGTAAAGAAAGGAGATAGAAAAATAAATTCAGCTTTGATCCCCAATCAAAAATGGAAATATGTTAGTCAGTCAATTTTATGAGAAATATCAATAACCCAAACAAATTAGTACTATTAATATATATAAAATCAAAAGAATAAATAATTAATAATTCAAGTTTTAGCATTATAATGATTTTTCTATTTTCTTAATGGATTAAGCTATGAATAAACTAATTTGATTTCCCACTCTTCAATTTTTTGGCAATAACAATTAACTCAAAATCTGAACAAAATCTGGCCTCATTTTTAAGATACTTTTTAATTTTCAGTATAAAAAATAAAGGAAAGTAATAGAAAAACAATAATTAAAAAAAAAGTAAATGAATTGCACTCGCCATATTCAATTTCCAATAACATCCATATGTATTGCCCCTCACTCATGTTAATGCTCAAGGAAACTTTGCATTGATTGCCAATATGAACATGGAGTTGATATTAGATACACAATTCCGACTCATAGATTTCAAGATCTGGTTATAAAGTAATTATAAGATTCTAGGATTGATCAAAATTCTGAATTCACCGAATAAAGAAAGAATATTTTAATGATTCTCTCTCAAACTGAAAACATGCTGAAGAATACATGGCAACATTTATAGGAATCAATCAAATAAATATATGATACAATTGAGATGCAGGATAAATCATATTTGAAAATCGTGAACAAAGATTTCAATCCTACAGATTTTTCAAATACTGACTTAGAGAAATTAGTATAAATTGTATAAGGAAAAATTTTAAATGAATGGAAAGCTTAAAAGGATTTTTAGTTGTAACAATTATTAAAGGTAAAGGATTGGCTGGAAAAAGAAATTAAGACTTTTAATGAAAAGTTGATGAAAGATATGGACGAAAATTTGTCATTTAATTTTAAAGTAAAATAATAACAAAATGAATAGAAATCTCAATCATAACTCAATTTTAAACCATTTAGTTATGAGATAATTCAAACTAATTCTATTAAATAATAAGAATCTTGTAATGCAGTTGCTATTAATAAAGATTGTTCAATTGTAGCGGCTGGTTGTAATAAACTCATTAAAATATATGACTTCAAATAAGGAATGTTGATATTAAATCAGGTTTTAAATGAACATAAAAATGATGTGGTCATTTTAAATTTTATGAAATAATCAAATTAATTGATTTCTGGAGATAATGGATCTATTTTGATTTGGACACATAATAATAATAATTCATGGATTTGTTCATAAACTATTAAAGGTCATAATTATTGGATTAGATGCATAATTTTGAATCATAATGAAGATCTTTTAATATCCAGTAGTGATGATAGAACTATTAAGTTTTGGGTTAAAAAGAATGAATGGATCTATTAATAACAAATTAAAGATCATAGTAGTTGTGTCAATCAATTAAGTTTGAATGAATAACAAAATCAAGTTATATCTTGTGGAGATGATAGATTGATATTAGTAATCGAGTAATCATAACCTAATAACAATTGGATTGTAAAATAAAAAATACAAGTTGATTGTTATGGATATAGATTATGCTTTACCAATGATAATCTATTCACATTTCAACCTAAGAAAGGGAATATGATGTATGTCTATGAAATGAATAGTGTAAGTTAAAAGTTCATTAAATCAAAAGATATTACTATAAATCAAGGAAATGAAGGTTGTTTATTATTTCCATAATAATTTAATAAATAAAAATAATTACTTGTGAATAAGCATGATAAATATGTAAATTTAATAAGATTTACAGAAAATTCTTAATTAAAAGTTGAATAATCTATACAATTTGGCACATCTTCTTTAGTTGTATAATTAAGTGATGATGGAGAATATTTGATTACTTGGGATTAAAAATCAAATGAAATATAAATAAGAAGATTTAAACAAGAATGAGATAATTAATATATTAAATATAATAGTGAAAAATTAGTTAATTTTATTTTGATAAAAAAAATCAAATTAAAAATTAGTTACTTAGATCTCAATTAAATGAGAAAGTTCAAATCATAAAATATTGGTAAATAATTTTCATCATATTTTAATTGATATGGAATGGAATATAAATGTAGTGGCAATTAAATGATAAAATAAATTAAGTTTACTTAATCATATTGAAAGGAGTCCCATTACTATTTGGTAAATATAATCAGGGATAGGTTAATAATATTATTTTAAGGAATATCTTATTAAAGTAAAGTATAGTTATGAATAGTTTAGATTTCCAATTTTGAGCAAAACGTTAGATTATATCTTTATTATTAATTTAATTGCAAATTAAAAAAGACTCAGAGGCTAGAATAGGAACTATAATTTAAGTAATCATGGAGATTTAGTAACCAAAATAAAATTGAAATTCTAATCACAAGAAATAAAGAAAATAGCTTAGTAATCTTTATTTATATAGATGATAGTAGAATAGCATAGATAATCAAATTTTTCATAGATAATAGAGGACTAAACCAATTTATGACAGGAAATGCATTTAATAAATTGTTTAAAATAGGGTTAAACAATAATTACCTCGTTAGTTGGATAAAAAAATAGTTTATATTGATAATCAACCAAAAGCAATTTATATAGATATTCATTCTAATGAAATCAATCAAGCATATTAATAAAGAATATTTTAACAAAAAATTAATTATTAATGATCAATAAATACAGCCTAAATATTCTTTTATGGTAATCTATAACCAATTGTTATCATAGCCGAAAAAGGAGTTAAAACCTTTTTCTTTTAGAACAATTTTATCGCTCGTTGAATCAATTATTAAAAGTCTTAATGATTCCAAACATAGATTAATTAATCTTTCATAAATTAAAATTTTTTTTTTTTAATATTTTTTACCCTTAAAAAATTCTATAATTTTTATAATTTCATTTAATGGAGTATTAATATTGTTCCTTAAACTCTATTATTTAATATGTACTTTGATGAATTAAATAAATAGTTTAAAAAGAGATTAGGAACATAAAGAACATAAAGAAAATAATTACAAAAAGAAAAAGAGAATCAAAAGGTTAATCCTAGATTGGATTTACTAATAATGCAGATTTTGCTAAGAACTATTAGGTGTCAAGAGAAGTGATCGAAGAAGCTAATCTGCTAGTTTACAAGAGGAAAACTTTATAAAATGGATTTTGTTTATAATGGCTTCTAATTATTGGAGTGTTGCCAACAGTGTTATTATTTCTAAAGTGAACCATCGGTAACACTAAATAAAGAAATCTTGCATTTCTAAATGAATAGGTTCGTGAAATGTTTCGATAGGATATTATACGATGAATTTGATATATCATTAAAAAATTTTATCTAATTCTTTAAAGTTAACCAGCTATTGAAGAATCAAATGATATAAAAACCATATTATTAGATTGTAAGCTATATGAAGATCTTAAAAAATATCATAATTTAACTTTCATATCTAGAATAACAATTGATAATGTTAGCAAATTTTTCTAAACATTGTTAACAATTAATTTTCCTATAATTTGTCAACACCAAAAATTTTTATTTTACTAGATTAAAAACTTCTAGTTTCTTCATAAATTTTTTATAACATTTTCAAATATTCTCTAATATAAAAAATATTCTGCTTTACTTACTGTTCATATTAATATCTTCATTATCAGAGCTCGTAAAAAAAATAATCCTTAACTTTAGGGAAACTATCATGTAAAGAAGGAAGAACTTCTCCTCTCCTGTAGACTATTATACGATTC